TATATATATATATATACATATATATATATAATTATATATATAATATATATATATATATATATATATATTATACATATATATACATATATATAGATATATACAGATATATACACACACATATTATATATATATATATATATATATATATATATATATAATAACATTATATTACATATATACATATATATACATACATATACATTTATATACATACATATACATATATATACATACATATACATATACATACATACATATACATATATATACATACATACACATATATACATACACACACATATATATATACATATATACACATATATATACATACATACACACATATATATACATACATACACACATACACATACATACATACACATATATATACATACATACACATATATGTACATACATACATAAATACATACCCACATACCCACATTACAAAACAACTCAAGTTTAAGCACCATATAGATTACACTCAAGTAAATCCCTTTGAGAAATATGTTACAGCATTCCTTACAATGTAAATGTTACCTTGGCATAATGTGCAAACTGAAAGTAAACTGCAAAGTGCTTTTCAACAACCATTAAAGAAGAGGCAAGAAAAAAAAAGGAAAAGAGGCACATCTAATATGAATTATAATAACACACTAAGCAACAGTGACGTTATAAAGACAATCCAGAGAGAGATTTCAATATGCTGACACCAATACACACATTAAAACCTCCATCCCTGTTAGTGAAACAATGAAAAGCCAAGAAATTATGAGATTTTCCCTAAGGCATAAGTGATCCTAAAATGAACCAAAATTTTCAAGACACGCGCATACTTACTTTTTCCCTAGAGCCATCAGGCCATACAGGACCCCAGAGAGGAAGATGAGGCCAGAGCCGAATATGGTAGACAGCCCAGGGCACAAGATGACTGCTGGCAGTGCAATACTGAAGGAGAGATTAAATCTATTAGTTTATGGTGATGGCTGTCACAGGATTTGTCTATTATAAGGGGGAGGGTGCACTGAGTCTTAACTATTCATCTTTCTTTCTTTTTTGTTCTTGTTCTTCTTCCCATTACAATTTATTGCTGTTTCTGTTTTAATCTACTTACTTGCCTACTTGCCATTGTCTATTTGTCTACCTATCTCTATATTCCTGCCTGTCTATATCTAGTCAGCCTACTTGTCTACGTCGGTCTTAGTTTGCCCCTTTATCTGCGTCTGTCTTAATTTGCCCCTTTATCTGTGTCTCTCTGTCATTAGTTGCCTAAATGGCTCCTTGTATGTCTATTTATGCTAATTTGTGTCATATCAATTTATCTATATGAGGTCAGAGAGGGTGACTGCTGTCAATAGAGGTTTGTCTTAAGGGGACCGTCCCTGAGAATGGCCACCTTTCCCTACTCTATACATCATAAAAAAATATCGGTTAGAGATAACTGATTGATTCTTTTTGCATGCTATAGAGCAAAGAATTGCGCTTCGTTATATATATAAATTTTAACTTTGCTCCCCCATTGGGGGGGGGGCACCCCCCAAAAAGTTGAAAAAAATCGCCATTTTTTGGCATGTCTTCGGTACATCCCAACTGTCAGAGCTCTTTACAGAATATTCCCCCAAAAATGCTAGTGTTAGATCAACTCTAGCCTATAGCCATGTAAAAGGCCGAATTTTGAATTTCCTTTTTTTTTTTGGCGGGGGACAGCTTGACATAGAGAACTATTTTTGAATGCGTTTTTCAGCATTAAAATATTATTATTTTTTGATTAAGGCAAAAATTCAAAAATCGGCCTTTTACATGGCTATGGGACGCCGAGGCTCTAGTGAAAGCAACAAACTGCATTTGGATCGCATGAAAATTACGTGAGTTGGGAAGTACCGAAGATTCATAAAAAAATAGCC